AATTTTTAATATGCCGTTACTTAGTAAGTTTACTAAGTTATCAATTTCTTATTAAAAGTATGGCTGCTAATATTTTTTTTCTTAGTTAGTAAATTATTATTTTAGTATTATTATTATTATTTTGTGTGTAGAATTGTACAAACAGTCAGCCCATTTAAATTGACTATGGACACGTTTTTTTAACAAGACGAGATTAGATAACTTTAATTTAATCTATGGACTACGATAGGGGATAGTACAGTGATCCAAATACCAAAACAACATGCGAATTACCCCAAATTGGGTTCTTGGGCATTATCAGATTTGGGCTAACTACAGAAAGTGGGCTTTAGGCCTAGTCGAAAAAAGGCCCGAACTGTAGTGAATCCGAGAAATATTATTGTCACTGAACCCCATAAACCCTAATTTCCCCGGGCTTCAATTCTGTGGTTCAAACTTCAAATCATCCTAAATTCTTCAGCAAAATCCCGATCCTTGAGCGAGCTTCGCAGCTTCGGTTTCCTCGAATATGTAAGCAGCGCAGAATTCCTAATTCCACAATTAATCCCTTATGTCCATGATTTTTAGCATTTGCGTTTATGGCCTTGTTGGCCATTAGAGCTGCTGTAGAATTTCGTATTGTGTTTCTCTGTGACGATAGTATTTAATCCCTCTTCTTTTTTGTTAGTTGCCTGTGCATTTTTCCAGCATTGTAACCCTCGATAAGGAGCAATGGTGCGTGCTTACAGAGTGAAAGGGCAAAAGAGGAAGAAGAAAGGAGAGAAGTACGACAGAGAAGAAGAAGAACACGAGCAATTGGCGGAGGAGAATATCAATCAGGAGCTGCCGAAGAAAATGAAAATGGAAAAGGCCGAGCCAGAGAGAAAGGCAGAGCAATCGGAGGCCGCTGCAGCCGATGAGCTGCCCGGAATTCCAATTGTTCCGATGGATAACAATGCTAACAAGCCTGGGGTCATCTTTGTTCTTGAGAAGGCGTCGTTGGAAATCGCAAAAGTTGGGAAGGTCTGTCTTTGTGTTTCAGAAAAAAGGGGATAAAAATGTGTTTTTTCCAGTTATGGAGTTATTTTGTTATTTATTTGGGTTGAATTTTCATTATGCAGACCTATCAGCTCTTGAGTTCGGACGAACATGCCAATTTTCTGGTGAGGAATAAGCGGAACCCTGCAGATTATCGGCCGGACATTTCTTTTCAGGTTCGAGTTTAAGATCGGAAAGAAAATGATTAATTTACTGTATGCTTGAGGATGATATTGATTGCCTATATCATGGTGATGCCTTGGAATTTTATGTGTGTGTGATTATGTGATAGCTTTGGTCAGATTTGATTGTTGTAAGCTTTGAAGAGTAACAAGTTCTGTGAAATCTATACAAGTAGATTTCCAATCTCAAGGCGGTTTTTAATATTTCTGCATTTTGAGCCAGTTGCAACTAAGGCTGTTAAGTGATGTGGCACTATCTTCACATGTGAAAATCTTTTTTACCATCATTTAATCAATGTACTTCGAGTTAGTATTCTTGCATGGAGGTTGCAAGCGTACTCCCTTTCCTTATTTAATATGTTAATCTGTCAAGTGCAAACGTTAGTCTATGTTGTTACTTTTGTAGAATCTGTTCATATTCACCCAGGCACCTGAAAACCTTTTGTACTCTCTTTTCTCACATTTATTGCACATGAATGTTAAACCTGGAATGTTAAATGTTGTTTACCTTTGTTGTTAGATATGATCATCAGTGAGGGATTGTCTTGTTCCTAACAATCATGTTTTCTACATCCTGAAATGTTTAGGCTATTCAAACAATATTAGACAGTCGGGTGAACAAATGTGGGAGATTAAAAGCTTTATATGTGAGGACACAGCAAGGCCTTCTTTTGCACATCAAACCTCACGCACGTATGCCAAGGACATATAAGAGGTTCTCTGGTCTCATGGGTGAGTACGCCTGATTCAGTTTATAAGTTTGTGGTGAAGACTTTGTATCAATAGGAAACTTCTGATCACATTTATCAATGATTTGCAGTGCAATTGCTGCAAAAGCTGCACATAACTGCAGCCGGTAAAGGCGAAAAACTTCTTCGCGTAATCAAGAATCCTGTCACCCAGTATCTGCCCATCAACTGTCGGAAAATAGGTGAACAATTTTATCTATGTTTGTCTATGTATTTAGTTTCACATTTATTGCCATACAAAATATTAAATGTAGTGATTTCTTTTGCTGTTTATCAGGCTTCTCTCACAGTTCAGAAAAGCTGGTAGATATGTACGATTATGTCCGTACTGTTAACAATGAATTGGATCTCGTTTTTGTGGTATGATGAATATTACTCCTCTTTTTCTTTTTTTTTTTTCCCTTTTTTTTCCTCTAGATTTTTTTAGTCAGCTGAAGTTTGCTTCTGCCCTGTGTGACACAATGACAGGTAGGGGCAATGGCGCATGGGAAAATTGATGAAGATTATGTAGAAGATTATTTATCAGGTAATGTGCTATTTCAGTTGAAAATAATTTCAATCTTGTAAATTTTTCAGTTCCTTTAATGGCCCTTTGGTTATTGTCTTCGATTTCTTCTGATAAAGTACATTCGATTATTGCAGTTTCTGAATACCCGTTGAGTGCTGCATACTGTATATCGATGATAACAACTGCGGTCGAGCGAAAGTGGAAGATTCTGTAAATGCATTAATTATTGTCACTCGTGCTTTTTTGAGGCAGCCAAGGCTGCAATATGTTTCCGATATCTTGGAATAGGTCTTTTAGTTGGATGAATTTGATTATGTGGTCAGGTTTACTATTACTCTTCTTTAGCAAAGGAAGTTCGACTTATCGACAGTTTGTATTGTGTAATCACATTGTATGTTTGACAGTTTGAGTATCGACATGTTCGATTAATTTTGGCAGTGGTTATAATGTTCAAACTTATGTGAAATGTGTTTTATGTTCATTTTTGCTTTTGATGGGCTCCAACATTGGCTAATTATGTATCATAGGAGTATAAACGAGTTGAGCCGAGTTTGAAGTCGAGCCTTTTATCTAGCCAAGCTGGATAATGCTAATGTACCGAGCTCGTGGCTAAACTAAACGAGTTATAGAAATTTGAACAAGTTCTAACTTGACTCATTTATCAAATGAATCAACATTGCGGCTTGTTTCATTTAACAATTTTAATTGTCTACATGTATGGTAAAATCTATCATATTTTAAGCCCAAACCTGCCTAATGTAACTAGCATACTCTACCCATTCCCAAGTAGACTTGCAAACGAGTCGAGTCAAGCATGGATCTTATTAAACAAAGATAAACTTTTTTCTTCAATGCTCGAGCTCGACGAATCATATAAAATAGTGCTTGACTCGACACATGAAAAAATAATAATGCTCGAGCTCGACATGGCTCAAGTTCAACTTAAATTTAACAAAATTTGAAATATAAAAATACTATTTTTAATCTAGATAGACAATTTTGACTTCAATATTCTAATATTAATAAATAAACTAGATGAAGGTATTTACGTAAATAAAAAGTCGAGCAGTTCGTCAAATTTATGAGTTTCTTGAAATGATGTTCGAAGCTCAACTCATTTGCTCGATTTAAGCTCGAGTCGAGCATAGGCTCGAGAGCTAACCTCGGGACTCGAATGCAGCAGCTCTACTCTCAAGTTTGCCACATTGAGAGCTCACGAGCCTATTCTCGAAATGGGTTTTTCTGTTAAATCATGAAACTTCGCCACGGGATTTCTGATTAAACATCCCTTTCAAGTTTCAACAATGAATACACGAGCAATAACGAAAAAAATCTTATCTTTTATTCTTGGTCAGCTCAATCCGGGACAAATATTGGTTGGGGGAAAGGATCCTGCTGCCATTTCTGATGATTTTTTTCGGGCTGATTGTGTGATGGGATTTGCTGAAATGGTTCGGTTCTGACAAAAAATAGAAACTTTTGGGGAAAATAAAGTATAGCTCGAATCTTTGTGAGGGCCATGGCCGTCGTGTGGAGTGTGACAATTTGGGTGGCAAAATTGATATTTGTGGCGTTTGGGTGACTGGGTGTTTTCTTGCTCGAGTGTTGCTGATGAATTGCAGGTTCTCTAAGGCCAGAAAATATTGGTATTTTTTCATGTTGGTTGATGTTCAAAAACTTGGTTATTGACCAAAGTTTATTCCTTGTAGAGTTCGTTTCTTATGTTGTGCCGAAGCAATTTCTACACTATAGGCTGAAAAAGGTGAAACTTGGGTTGTGAAAAAAATGGTGGAATGCATTATTTCATTGGATTTCATCTTTGGATAAGCCTCATAACCGCAAGAAAGTGAGTTTTGCAGTTGGAAGTTGGAAATCGCCATCTTTGTTCCTCAGTGATGTGGCTTGCAAAGTTTGCAGTTGATTTATTGTTTTCTGGTTTTCTGTTCCCTTTTCTTATGGTTAAGTTTTTGGTGATGTGTAGTAAAAAGACTGGTGCTTGAATCACATTAAGATGTGTTATAGTGTTAGGAGTTCACTTGTTTTGTTCTACAAACAGTTAGTTTAGCAATTAGCAGCTCTAGTTACTGATAAATGTTCAAAGTGATAAAATTTGAAGAATGCAATTGCAGCAGAGTGGATATGAATGAAACTTTTTTCCTCGTCTTTCTTCGCTAATCCGTATTTTTCATACATCTTTCACCAAATCTTGAAAACAAGAGAGCAGTTCCAGTGCTAGCAACAGAGGTGATTATTCACTGAAATAGTATTCAGTTCTTTTTTTTTTCAAATCCTTTGAGGAAGAAGGATTATTTAAGATTGGGAGACATACTTTGTTCTTAAATTAGTCTGAATTGTTTTCTATTCTAATAGTGATCCCATTAAACACCATCAAACTTATAGCTTATGAGTGATTTTCGAGCTTATAGCTTATAGCTTATGATTTATAGCAGCTTATATGATAAAGTGTTTGGTAAAATTAGCTGATAAGCTAACTGAAATAAAAATTTCGACGAGCTTATTTGAAAAACTATCCAAAGAAGCTTATATCATTATTATGATATAAGTTTAAACTTTTTAAAAACACTCGTCCTACCAAACGAACCTTATTTGAATACAAGAAGCTTATAAGTTAATCAAATATAAGCTAGTTTATTTGATTACCAAACATAGCCTTATTCAGAACTCCAACACCTACCTTGAACTCTACGGCCCGACTTTCCCGATCCTCAAATAGATAGGAAACTTGACAACCTTCTCGATTTTCCCATCTTCATTCCACGCCCTCGTGAAACCCTCGACAACTTCATCACTCAAAAGCTCCACACCCTTCTCTTTAGCCGCTTGATAAGCGGACCACGACTTGAGGTACGTAAAGTACCCCTTCAAATCCATCACTTTCTCCGAATCGAACCTGAAGGGCCCGTTATGCTCGAGCCCATTAACCGGCCCAAAAGGGAAGTCAATGGTCTCGTACCTCTCGTCAACCATCCTACGTGGCGGCATCTCAAAATACGGGACCGCGTCCACATTGTAGAATCTGTCGAACATCGAGTCAACTCCAGGGTTGACCTCGGGAGACGTGTAGCACCATGCGGCTATAACCCCATTGGGCTTTTTGAGGGCCCATTTAACTTGCTCGTAGAATTTCGGGAGGTCGAACCAGTGCATAGCTTGGGCTATGGTGACTAGGTCAACGCTCGATTTTGGGCCGATTTTTTCTTGGAGTTCGGATATGGACATGCACGGTGAGGTACATTTGTAAGCTATGTTCGGTAGTTTGGCAGCGAATTCGAGCTGCCTCGGGCTTTTGTCCGTGGCTATAACATTCTTGTAGATATTAGCTAGCTGGATTTTTGAAAATAAAAAGAAAAAAAGTTTCATTTAGCTTGAAATCAATTGAAATATATAAAAATTACTCCTCTTGCAAAGATATGCATACATCATTTTTTTTTATAGTTGATAATTCCCTGCTATATTTCTGTCACTGGGTTGTAATAATAGATAATTTCTTCCATGTGCTTTTGCTTATCCAAATTTTTGCTCAATGTAAATAAAATTCATATAACATAAGTTTTTGATGCAATGATGTAATCAAACGATAATGATGTAATCCAGCAATCCAAACACAAAGAGGGATAGACTTACAGATCGGGCGGATTGGCCATTACCGGTTCCAACATCCCACGCAAGATCGTGCGAAAGTGTCTTTGAGGCAATGAAATCAAAGAGCTGTTGTGGGTAAGAAGGCCTGCCTTCAGAATACTGCATTGACATGTATAAATCTGCCATTTTTTCAATCAAACTTTAAAGTGTGTGTCTGTCTTTCTTTTTTCTACACTTTGGTCTGAAAAAATGTTAATGGTTTGTGAGATCTAAGAACTTTGCAATGTATTTATAGCAGTTTATGGAATATTTTGGGAGCAGAGCTTTGAAGGCAGTTTAGCAGCTGGTCAAGGTTCATTATGTGTGGTACTGATTTGTGATGTGAAATTTTTTGGATAATCTGTAGATTTGACCGGGCCCAAACCGGGCCTTTTTGAATTTTTGGATGATGGGATAATCTGTAAGTTTGACCGGGCCCCAACCGGGCTTCTTTTTTGAATTGGGGATGAGGGTGTTCAAATTGTTATTGGCTGCCTTAATGTTTTTGTCCTTTGACTATGGTTTGCCAATTGCCATTTTGGAGGTGGAAATATTTGAAAAAAGATTTGTTCTATGGTGGGTTTAGTGAAATAAATAGGGTTTTGGAGTAAAAGTTGTGTTGGGGCACACAAGTTTTTGTGTGAGATAGATGGACCGATCAGTTATTCTATATGAATAAAAAACAGACTTGTATTAAATGTTATTAGTGTTTAAGTATGATATCTTTTAATAAAATGCAGGGGCGGGCCTGCAGGGGCCTATGCCCTTGTAGGATTAAGAGGGCTTATATATCTAGAAATATATATTAAAAAAAAAAAAAAGAGAAAAAGAATGAACACATGTCCAATAATGATTGATAAAAAACTAAACCTAATAGGCTCTTAAATGAACTTTTATGAAATGTCATTGGAATGGTAATTCATAATTGGATGATTGATTTTTATACATCTTTTATTTTAGTTATTTTCAAAAAGTTGTGTTGGAGCACACAAGTTTTCGTGTGAGATAGATGGACCGACCAGTTATTCTATATGAATAAAAAACAGACTTGTATTAAATGTTATTAGTGTTTAAGTATGATATATTTTAATAAAATGCAGGGGCGGACCCACATAGGGGCCTGCAGGGGCCCATGCCCCTGAAGGATTAAGAGGGCTTATATATCTAGAAATATATATTAAAAAAAAAAAAGAGAGAAAGAATGAACTTTTATGAAATGTCATTGGAATGGTAATTCATAACTAGATGATTGATTTTTATACATCTTTTATTTTAGTTATTTTCGAAAGAAAAATGATAGTTGTATGTAATTAGTTATATTGTTTTAATTGAGGGGTTAGGTTGATTAAACTAGCTCTTATAATGGATATCAACTAATTACTTTCTATATATTTTCTTTTTTAATTATTTGATTATTTATGTTAAGAATTATGAATTTTCACTAAAATGAATTTAATTTAATTAATGAACATTAATATTAAAATACAATATAGTACATAAAGGGCGTCTGCCCGTGGGCTATATGCAATAAATGAAAATAACCGAACCGATCGATATATATATATATATATATATTATATA